GTCTTTTTTTTGGGGGGGGGGATTCTTATTTATTTGGTGTTTTCCTGGCACTGTCATAGTTTGTGTGTGTGTGTGTGTGTGTGTGTATGTGTGTAATGTCCCGCAGTTATCTACACATTAATAATGATCTAGTAATATTAATAATATCTAGTAATTAGTAATATCTAGTAATAACATCATCTTGGCCACTCCCACCAGGTCACATGGGTGGCAGGCCACTCCCATTTGGTCACATGGGTGGCAAGCCACTCCATCCGGTCACATGGGCAGCAAGCCACTCCCACAAAGGAGGCCACGCCCACAGAGTAGGTTCGAACAATTTTTGAAACCCACCCCTGAGTGTTTCCTTTCTTGGGGCTAGACTTCATAAGGATCAGATGTACAGCTTCTAGGTCTTCTTGGATCTGATACTGGTGCTGGAAAGCCACATTATATTAGTGGCAAGATGGACCTTTTATCAGCATTGGCTGATATAGTAGGTACACTCATTCTGCAAGGATAGAATTTGCAAAGTGCTTTTTTGAATGGGCATAATAAAATAGTTTTGAAACTTCAATTGCTCCATAATGCAATAATGTGGATGATGAATGGTAATTGTAGGAAATAAGAAATCAGCTGTACGGGTTAACAATTGCTTCATGAGCCCAAGTCAATGTGCTCAGTATGGTGTATAAAATCTTATATAGGCTGGGCCCAGGTTACTTGAAGAATTGCTAATTCCTATATAGCTCGCACCATACTTTTTGCTAATTGAGAGAACAATTTTTTCTATTGAGAGAACAATTTGCTATTGTAATTGTTATAGTTCTGGAAGGGGCTTAACATATTTTACTGAGATCTAGTATTCTAAAGAGTTCTTTAGAATTTTTTAAGACCTTCTTAAGTGGGCTTTAATGGCTTTTTACTTTGGCTTTTATATAAGTGTTTGTAAGCTGCCAAGAGCCGCAAATGGATTGGGCAGCACATACTTTGTAAAAGAAAAAAGTAAAAATAAAACAGAATATGGTTTGATTATTTAAACTGTGAAGTAGGATCAAAGCAAGATTTTATTTTCATTTTGATCAATACATACTTTTCCATGTATTTTTTACTTAATTTTACATTTATACTTGGAATGTATCAATTCTTAATACATCTTTTTATCACAAAATAATATTAAGATTTCATGTTATTTAAACAGGTGGCTGTCTAAATGTATTAAAAAATACCAGTCCTCATACATTTATAGAAAAGGATGTTTAACTGATTTACATAATATAATCATACTTTAGTTGTTTTCTGGAAAGAAGCTACATGCCTGAATAGTAGGAATTTCTTGATGGCTTCTTATAACAAAATAAAAACTATATTTGGATTCAAAGATAAATTTTCTATTATCATACCTATAAAAGTTGACCTGACAGTCAACTGGACTTTTTGAATAATAAGAGAAGTTACATGTTAGGAGCAATTATAGGACTCAGCCTCCATAGTAAAGTGCATGGAAGAACTGATTCCAATTATTTCTTTCCCATATAGTGTGTCATATTGTTCAGACAAAAACAGAGAACTTTGAGATGCTAATTGGTGGCTATACTGGAAAGGAAAGGAAAGTTTCTTTGATTTCTTTAAATTAACATAGGGTTGACAATATGCTTCTAAATATCTCCATTAGTGCTTATTTAATTCCCTAATCTATTTAAATGGGCGGTTTAATGTTTCAACTCACCTAATTTCGTATTTTTACGATTATAGCACATCCTTCTTCTGCCCTTTAAATTTCTTCTATTGTCTTTTGAATGTCTTCATTCTTATTCCATGCTCTTCTTTCACATCCTGTACTGTATCAACTTAAAAACCAACTTCCATTCCTGTCCCTTTTTTAATTGCTGCCTAGCAATGTTTGTCTAAATTATTTCCGTTATTACTTTTCAGACTGGACATTTAGATTTTTGTCTCTTCTGCTAGTCTTGTAATAGGAACATTATATTGATGCAACAATCTTTCGACAGCTATTATTAGTTATAAATCATAGCATTTTTCTGAGGTACACAGATGCTGTTCCAGTCAGAATCTGACTGTGTGTTTCCTAGGTGATGTCTGGCTAGCTGTACATGGAAATGATATATGAATCTAATCCATGCTGGATTAGATGGATCCTGGACCCAATCCAGCAGAGTTCTGAATAATCTGAATTGCTTTTGATAAGAACACGCGTAGAATAATTGAGAAAACAGATGCTGACATTTTGCTGAGGAAAGCAACTTTCCTAGAACCAGTGCAAACAATTATGGGCAGCTGCTTCAATACACTACAGCAGGGGTGTCAAACTCAAGGCCTGGGGGACCAGATCTGCCTGTGAGGTGCCTAGATCTGGCCCAAAGGGCCACCCTGGAAACAGTGAAGTACTGGCCCACAATGTCTCTACCAGCCCTCCTGAGCTCCATTTTCACTGGCAGAAGGTTGCAGGAGGCTGTTGCAGCCGAAAATGGAGCCCAGGAGCCTGTTTGCGCTGGCAAACTGCTTGAGCTACCAAGGGGGCCCTGACACGTATGACGTGGAGTTGGCTATTCCCACTCTGCCATGCGCACCCCAACCCCATGGGGTCAAACAAAACCTTCATGCAGTCCTCAATGAAACTGAGTTTGGCAACCAGCACTACAGGAAACAACAAACCTTATTTTCATACTTTTTACTTCAGAGTAGTTTGGCACTACATGTCAAAATAACTTTATCATGTCAAAATAGCTGTTTTTCTATAGTACACGAATGGGATTGACTGACTTAGCTTGGTTATCAGCTTTGGTTACAGCATTACTCTGGATTTCTTATCAGGTAGATCATGTATTCTGTTTTGTGTGCACCATTCCTCTTCTAATAGTTGCTTTATCAGTCTTATTAATATATATCAAATTTCAACTACACCAACTGTGCATGCTTCAAAATGCTACATATTAAGATTATACTTACTCAAAAAATGTCGTCCATCCAATTTCATCACTTCTAGTTGCTAGGAGTCCACTGTTGCCATGATATGTGAACAAGACTAGTTCCTGTCCTTGTGCTATCATATTTTTTAAGCAACCGTTGGTTCCTATGGTTAACCAGATGACTTGATTGTCCGGAGATACTACTCTTACTGGCATCCGATTGGGGTCACGCCTAATACGAAGGGTATTTCCATTGCTGTCAGTAACTGCAGTTATATCATTGTCATTACTGTAGCTAAAATTGTACAGATAGTCTCCTGTGACTAAATTCATTGTGTACTGATGAGTGCCATTGACATCAAAGATATAGAGCTCCTGATCAGTTGGAGAAGCAACTTCATAAAAGTTCATGGAATTCAGTAATGGTTTGTTCTTTGACACAGCTCTTATTCGAATATTTCCAAGGTCTGCAATATACAGTGTTCCATCAGGTGATACAGCTAAGGAAGAAGGGGCACTGAGTTTGGCATCTTTAGCATAGCCATCACCATTTTGATAGCAGTCACAGTTAACATCATTTTTGCAGTCACATTCAGAAGGTATTCCAGCAACTAATGAGATTTCTCCATCAGTTGTTACTTGTCTTATTCTGTTTATCTTTTTTTCATCTGTTTCCGTAATGTAAAGCACCCCATTATAAGATAAAGCAATAGCCGTGGCTGATTCTAAGGTAGTTTGTACTGCATGTTTTCCAACTGTATATTCCACTCCAGGGACCTGGCAGTGCATTGGCCTTCCAGCAGCTATACGGACTTGCCGATTTTCTGTAATTTGAAGCACTACGTTGTTATCCAGCACATATATGGAGTTATCCATTGGGTTGATAGCTAAATCTGTTGGCCACTCCAGACGTACCTTATCAAAACAAGAACAATTTATTAACACATTACTTAACCTGGCTTTAGCCAAATAAATTTTCTGAATGAAATTTAAAATGGCTCTAGTTGCTAGTTCTGGAATACTTATCTGCTTTCTTTTAATTGCATGGGATTACAGAGAATGGTATTAGCCAACAATTTAAATGACTTAATTTAGGTGAAAACAATTAAACTAAAAATTAAAAACAATGAACAGTCTGGAAACAATGCAACTTGATTTTAGAGAGTGGACTTGTATGAATGAAAGAATTAAAAAAAATTGTGGGAGTTTCATCTCTGGAAGCTTCTAAGAAAGGACTGGACTGCCATTCGTCAGAAATAGTGTAGTGTCTTTTGCTTAGGTGGGGGGTTGGATGATCTACAAGGTCCTTTCTGTTAATCTGTTAAAAGTTAATGGTAGATTTATTTAAATGGGATCTGTGTAACAAATGGGGCCGCCAGGTCTAACTCCCACACAATATTAAAAGGTTGTCTCCCTACAAACCCAGCAATACAAAGAAAGAAAGGCAATATTTAAAATTATATCAATTTGTGAGCCTTTTATTAAAATATCAATCTAACAAAATCTCTTAGAAAGTTGCAAAATCTATGCCATCGCAATCATAGTTCTGATTAGGAGATACAGCATCTGAGTTATGCTCAGACAAGAATAGGTTTTGATAAACATGCTGATTTATGAAGTTTGATAGTCTTTCCTGATTTTTGTCATGTGTTAAATTACTTTCGGGTATACAGTTCTGATTTTCACATTAGCTTTTGACCCACTGCAGCACAGCAAAGAAGCAGCAAGCAAGCAAGCAAATAAAGAAAGAAATATCTGCAGCACACTAGAATGAATAAATGTTTGTGTTAAATGTATCTGAGTCTTGTAGTTTTCTAATAGATCTGTTAATATATGTGCAATAATTGTTAGAATCCACCTTGAAGGGTTTTTTTCTCAATTGTTTCTAAAATGATGTTATAAAGTGTATAAAATCTTTGTTTTTATATTGTTTCACTTTGATTATTTACATTTTGTAGAATTAAATAATAAATAACTTAACTGAACGTTATTCCCAGGGGCCCTAAATTCAATACAATGCTCTTGTATAAGGCAGTAAATTTTATTTTAAGGACTGATCAAAGTTGAAATAACTATCAATATCTTAACACAAAATGTATTGCTGAGTTTTTTAATTGTCTAGAATTCACAGACAGAAATAAATAAATAAATGCAAGCATAAGAAAATCCCATAACATAAAAATCTAAAAAAACCTCCTTCTTTCCTTGTCTTTTGCCAGGAGTTTTATTTACTGGAAAGACATGTGAATGAATAGATTAGACCTGGATGGATGAATGAACAATCTATTCATTTAAACCTGCACTTATTTTTTCATTAGTGGATTGACAAAGAAGATGCTGATGTTGTTATTGTGTGAACTATACAGGCTGTTTCAGGGAAAATGACTTATCTCAAAAAAAAACAAAACACCTTTGTTAAAAGTACCTGGCTGATATGCATGCTGGTGTCACATGTTAATGGTCGCGCGGAAGTCAGATCATTTGAACCAAGTAATGTTGATATTATTCCATTTTGGTCCACTTTCCTGATCATAGTCCCATCAACAAAATAGATTAATCCATTCTTATCTACTGCCACTCCTTCAGTAAAACAAACAAACAAGCATATACGATATGATTTTCTTTCAAATTATAAAAATCAACATTTTTCCTCTTCTATTTATACACTGTTTTTTATATCTTTTCATTAAACACCAAGAATGATTCTAAAGATTTAATAGAACTGGGTTCTAACCAGATGTATATTATGTATGAAAATAAAACATTGTTTGTTGTAGTTTGTTAAGCATTGTGTCTAATTATTGAACCCTTCATGGTTCCCTGGATACAAAGTCTTTAAAGCATGCACACACGACCATAGATGGACAAATGATGACATATGCATAATGATGCAATCATACAATTGGCATGATTTACATACTTGCAACACATTTATGATGCAAGTATGTAATTATAGTTTTTGCATGATTATGGCATCATATACATGTCATCCTTTAGGTATCATTCCAGGTTTCCAATGACATTCTTGATAGAAGGTAAAAATATTCATAATGCATGATAATGAAAGACAAATTATTAATGATAGGAAATAAAAAACTTCATTTTTGCAACTTTACTTTTGGAAGGTTCTTCCATTCAGAAAACTACATATAAGTACAAGATTGAATAAACAACTCAACAGTGTTAAATGTTATCATGAATGCTGACTAATAAAGTGTATTTTTCTCTTCATAAATTTTCAATTTTCTCCACCTTTCGGACTCATCAGAGTAGCTTCTACAGCCTTGCCACCATCGCCACATCGTGCTTCATCAAATGGAAGGCACTGTTCTCCAGTCCCTGCTACTACATCAGCATTTTTTGTCAGATCTTTTGCTCCTGTAAGTGATTTTGGACGATAAATCCGTCTTGTATTTGTATCAGAAACATACAATTCTCCTGTGACTGGATCAGTTGCAAGATAGTATCTGTGAGCGGGATTACTGCTGCAAAAAGGAAAACAAGTTTTTTTTAGTATGATTATAATCCCATGCCACTTTTTTTGTTTGTCAAATTCGACGGTTCTTGAACATTTAGTATAACTTCACATTCTAAAAAATAATAGAAGACTCCAAAAATCTTTGGTTTATATGGGATATATCCATTGATATTTTCTCTATTAGACATTAGAGAAATTTTAAAATAATTGAGTTGGCAAAGACTACACTTTGAGAACAATTGGCTTAGTTGTATAGACAAATCAACTGTCATTTGCCTTAAAACTTGGATCAAATTTAATTATTTTGTGATTTTTTACTTTTAATATTAGAATTGTGTATAATTCTAAGACATCTAAGACATCTCTAACATATTTGAAATGTTAGTTTCAAATAATCATATCTGGATTTCTTCACTTAGCTCACTCTTTGATCTCAACATTTTTTCATAAATCTAACCCATTTGATCTATATCTATAGATCTATATTACTGATCTATATTACTGATAAATAATATATTGTATTTTCTTCTGATCAAAAAGTACTTTATCACTGAGCATAAATTCATATATTAGATATATTTGTGAGAAAATCTAGCTTTTTTCAAAATACCACAGCATTTTAAAAACCTCTAAATATGCTACCATATTTTCCTATGAAATAAAAGAATATACAGTTTTAGAGCTTTTCTTCAAAGCTCAATAAATTTTGGAGAAAAAGTTTTTTTCCTAATGAGTAAATAACTTTGTTGAATATATCTGTTGCTCAAAGATACAATCCAAAAGCTTAACTAGCTGCATCAATAACAATAGATCTAAGTTATGGCATAAAAAAAATGAATATATTGCTGATAATATTAGACTGCCTACTAATGCACAAAGCCCTAGTATCCATCAGATCAATTTCTAATTTATTTGCAAATGTGCTACTAACATGTATCCTATAGATTTGGTGATATCAGAGCATCTGTTCACAAAAAAATACTGCTTAGTATTTCATAAATATAAATATAACAGTGTTAGAATAACACATTGCATGTAACATTGTTGGCAAAGAGTGTCAGGGGTTAACATAAACAAGTTGTGACTAAATTATGGTTTGAAGTAGGAACAGGTTTTGAATAATTATTAATATGTAATTTTAATAGATACAGAAATCTGGATGGAAAATATAATCAGTTTAAGTTTTGGTAAAATTTGATTAATGCAGCAGGGCAATTGAACAATAAAAGCCTAAATCGGAGGCATTCTATTTTTAAATTGTGAACAGGTTTTGGCAAAGTACTAAAGGTTCTGACAGCTTGTTCTGATTTTTATTTTAAGAAATAGTATGTCTGGATTTGATCAGAAACCTCTTAACTGGAAAATATATTTTTGAAAATTCTTCAAAATAATGATGGGTACAGAAAATAATATAATGGATCAAATGTATGCCTTTTCACGTAAAACTTCTCACTAATGTCCCTAGACCTTGTCTAAAGACAAATAAAATCTTTCATCTGATATAAAATTAAACTCTGGATAATAATTGTACACAGTTTGGTTGGAAAAAATTAAACTAACCAAATTTAAATCAAAAGAATATTTAACTTGCATAAAATAGTAGAATTTGACTTAGTATTATTATATTAGAAAAACACTGAAAAAGAAAGTGAATATGTTCTAACCCAAATACTGTTATTGTTAAGATGACAGAGAACAACTCAAGGAATATATATGTATGTATATATATGTATATGTATGTATATGTATATGTGTGTGTGTGTGTGTATGTGTGTGTCTATGTGTATATATATATATATATATATATATATATA